TGACTTCTGAATTTTACTGTAGTCCAACACAGCGCAGTGTGTGGCCTAAGCTGGATTTTTCCATCCAAGCACTCAGTACCTCACCATTGTCCTGGCTGCAGTGTAACAGCATCCTAGTGATTTGCATCTTTACCTATTTCAGGGGTTTTAAAAATCTGAATAGTGGAACTGGTATTTTCCAGTAGAAATGCTATTACACTGCAGCAACCCAAGATAGTAATCTGATTCCACAAAAATAATTTGATCTTCATTCACAGCAGAGCCCAAACCATGTCCTTACATGCTTATGATGCTTCTGTTTCATAACCCAGTGACCTGACACACATAGATCTTGTGACTGATGGTGTCACTTTGCTGGATGGCTTTAGAAAAGCACTACTGTCAGGCTGCCAAAGCATATGCTGGCCATAAAAGGGCTCCTTTGGACTATAGCTGAGCTAATTTTCATCGAAGTCCAAGCATGGACATGGGAAGCTTGAGTTTTCCAGTGCAGATGTTTCTTCAGTGCAGGCTGGAGATCATGTCATAGCAGGGTTGTAGGACCACTGTGAACTGATTTGACGTTCAACTTCAGAAGATACCCATGTTAAAGAACCCAGAAGGAAACACCTGTTGTTGGCACTGAATTGTCTCCAGTTCTTAGAAAGCTGAGATGAAATGTGAGTTCAGTGGGCATGGAGAAGTTACACATACTGTTTTCCCACCAGAGATGGAAGCCCTGCATAAAACTTCTGCTTCTCCTTGAAGACTGGCCACAGTTAAGAGATACTTAAGTCTGTGTCTACTCTTAGATCATTTGTGTGAGCCTGTTATTTCAGAGTAGGAGTGGATTTTGTTGCTTTTAGAGATAGTGGTTCTCAGATGTCTCCTTCACCTAACCAGCCTATGGGCTCACTTTGAAGGAGGTAGGGAATTTTCTTTGCTGTCACCTGATTAAAAAAGCTGTAAGGTACCAAGGAGAAGATCCTTAATACAAACCACTGCCAAACTTAATGTGTAGGAAATTTTTTAGGAGTACAAACATGGCAACAGGAGAAAAGATGCAGAACATTTTATTCGCATCTACGAAGGGCCACAAAGATGATCAGAGAGCTGGAGCACCTCTGCTATGAAGACAGGCTGAGAGAGTTGAGGCTTTTTAGCCTGGAGAAGAGACGGCTTTGGGGAGACCTTATAGCACCTTCCAGTACCTGAAGGGGGCCTACAGGAAAGCTGGGGAGGGGCTTTTCATTAGAGAGGATGGTGACAAGGGGTAATGGTTTTAAACTGAAAGAGGGGAGATTTACGTTAGACATCAGGAAGAAATTCTTCACCATGAGGGTAGTGAGGTGCTGGAATAGGTTGCCCAGGGAGGTTGTCAATGTCCCCTCCCTGGAGGTTTTTAAGGCCAGATTGTATGAGGCTTCTGCAGCCTGATCTAGTGTGAGGTGCCCTTTTTCGTAGCAGGAAGGTTGGAGCCTGATGATCTTTAAGGTTCCTTCCAACCTTAACAATTCTTTGATTCTATGATCTATGTCAATTTTCTCAAGACACAGGGGTCATTGTTATATTTTAGGCTGGAAGAAACTAGGTTAAAATAATTATACTTAAATATGTTGATTTCCTTTTTTTTTACTGGTAAGTGTCTTCCTTGACAGCAGCATTCAAGGTTATACCAGGCATCACAGGGGAGCTTCCCCTCCCAATTAAGGGGCATGTGGGAATGGTCACAGCTAGTAATACAAATAAGCAGTGTATATACATAATATATATATATAAAAGCTTTTCATCAATTTCTGGTAATGGTATTAAGGAATGGGAAGTAGGGAGGGGGGAGGCAGAGGGATAGGCCTCTGAGGTTCAATTTGTTCTGTTGGTGCTTTTGGAGCATAGTACAAAGGTACTTCTGCAGACAGCGTAGGGGAGACATCATTCCCTGGAGGAATGAGGTTGTGCTGCTCAGACTGAAAAGGTTTTCTCATCTGCTTTTGAAATAATCCTAAAATCCTGCTTGCACTCATTTAGCCAAACCCAGGAGCTGTGGCCGTGATCCTGCCAGCACTTAGTGAGCACAGATCACTTTTTTCCAGTGGTAGGAGTCCGGAGCAGTGCGATCCTAATAGGGAACTGCAGCAGGGATCCATTCTGAAGGACTGAGCTATGTGTTGGCAGGATTTGGGCCTCTGATGGGAAAGGTTTGCTTTAGATTTGAAGCTAGGAAAAATGCTCCGAGGCAGATTCCCAGCAGCGCAGTGCCAGCTGCCAGCTGCACATGGTGGCAGCGCCACGGCAAGCACGGGTGCAGTTTGTAAGTATCACACTGGGGACACATGGAGAAACAGATAAGGAACTCTCATTATCTGATGTCCATTTCAGGGTTAGACTGAGAATTATGATCAGAAGGTGAAATTGAGCAGATACGTTTTAAAGGTGGCAGAGGAGCTGGCTGGTATTTATTCATTCTGGACTTTGTGCACTGAGCTGCATCTGGGAATTATCTGAGCTTCCTGGGATGACAGAGAGGTGCAAGACAGACTGTTTACTCCTGAGACCTTTTTACTCCAAAGGCAGCTATACACTAAAGTGGCTTCATTACTTTGATTAAAATGTTGGTTTTTCATTGTGGTTTTTTGTGGGTTTTTTTTGCTTTGGGATGTACTGATTCCCTGAAATAAGTATTTGCAAGATTTATTGCAAACCTGTCACTCCCCAAACTGGTTCCTTTTGCACACATTCTTCAGAAAAAAATTATTCTTACATTATTTAATAACATGTCAGTAATGCACAGTAACAGGGTCAGTGAGATTTAACATTTTGAATTGTAGTTGGTGCACAAGCATGTAATTTATGTAAGCGTGAAACATCCTTGTGTGATTCTGAAATGGCATTTCAAAATCTTAAAGATAAGACAAATTCTGATGAATCTGGATGTATTTATTTTTGTTACAATAAGATATGAAAACAGAAGTTGAATCTTCTTTAAAATAAAAACTGAGTTTCAACCAGATTATAGGACCTGGTAAAAAGTAGTCCTTGTGCCAAAAAACCTGAGCCATGAATGCTGATAACAAACCTAACAAGTCAGCAAGAAAGCATGAATATGAAATAAAAACATCTTAAGAAGAAGTCAGGGATCTGTTACACTAGTATAGGACATCACTGTCCAAAAATTGGCTTTCTAAATGTTTTTGTGATGGTTTTTCATCTGTGAGGCTAATTGATTATTTATATAGGTTATGCCTGGAGTGCTAGTAGAACTTCATGCCTTTTCAGTAAAACTCTACAGAAGATGATCGTGTGTAGTTTGGGAGTTGCCAGCATTTCCAGTTTCACTGCTGATCCAAAGTACAAGTATT